AAGATTAAATGTAAATAATTCGGGTAATCCCAACACCTGTCTAGCTTTCACCTCCAGAATCTATTGAGTGAACAGAATTGCAAATAGTCTCTGTTTGCAGTTAAACTTATCCTAAAACAAATAATTTATAAATGTGAACTTAAACTCTAATTCCAATTGTACTTTTAAGGCAGTGACTGTTTTTAGACTTTCTTATCGCTTATAGTTAGTAATGTACACCTACCCTATCTGAGAAAAGCAGGAAAGGCTTGAAATATAAGCCATTCTAGGGAAATTAGGGAGTCAGTTGAAATTCTATTCTGATCTTATTCTGTGGTGTCTTTTGCAGCCCAGACAAACGTGGTTACACACATTTTAAGAAATACAATTCTACATTGTCAAGCTTATGAAGGTTCCAATCAGATCTTTATTGTTATTCAATTTGGATCTTTCAGGGATTTTTTTTGTTTTAATTATTATGGGACAAAGGACATTTGTTGCAGGGATGGGAGGGAGGAAGACTTTTTAAATGAGTAAAACATTCCCAAGTTTGGATCAGAGAGTTGGAGGTTTTTAGAATAACCAGAACTAGGAGTATGAGGGACCTGTACTGGGGTCGATGTGATGCCTCTTCAAAGAACCTTATGTGACAAATGAGAAACATTTTGAAGCTTTGTGGTACGACATTTAGATTCCAGAGACATCAGCACGGCTCAAAGTGCAGCTCCGTTTGGCAGTGCAGTGGTATCAGTTTCAAGCTGGATATGTCTAAAGGGTATTTAAACAATAAATGTGCAGTTTTAACCCACAGGATATTTAATGACAACCTTCTGGTTGGTAGGGACATCTGTTTCTAAATGTTTATTATGTACAACACAGAAAAAAATTTTTAATAAGATAAAATTAAGCAATGTGAAACTGAATTGGGAAGTGATAATACAAGTCCTTTAGTCTTAACCCAGTGAATCATTCTGTTCCATGCCTTTGGACAACCATGACCTTGGACAGCCATGAAATATGCATCTCACTGGACGCAAAGAAAACCAGATGGAGCACGAATGGTACTGCACCCATTCATCTGGACTGCCCTAGAAAAATAACTAAGCCAACATTCCTGTTGACAACAAGGTGGTTCTGCATACCAAGCTCAGCACAGAAGATGGAAACACTGGTGGAGGATGGAAAGGCTCGCTGAATCAAAAGAATTTCGAGACTATTAATAAATAGAACTGTAGTAGAGAAACTGAGTAGTTCCATGCACCTAAAGCTTTTGGGAAACCTGCAGTGGGCCTTCCAGATAGCTCATTTCATTTCGTTTTTCCCTCCCAGGTAGAATTTGCAAGAGTGATAGTGAATTGCATCTCTTTTGGGGAAGCTTTCTTTTGGTGGTTTTCTTTATTATACCTTCTTAAGTTTTCAACCAAGGTTTGCTTTTGTTTTGAGTTACTGGGGTTATTTTTGTTTTGAATAAAAATAAGTGTACAATAAGTGTTTTTGTATCAAAAGCCTTTGTTATCAAGATTTTCATACTTTTACCTTCCATGGCTCTTTTTAAGATTGAGACTTTTAAGGGGTGGCTGATATCCTGTGACACTGCACACACACAAGATATGGTAAGGACACTTTACGTGGTTAAGGTAAAGTAAGTCTCCAGTTGGCCACCATGAACTATATTGGCACTTTGTTTGTGTTGTTGGAAAAAGCCACGTTGCCATTAAACTTTCCTTGTCTGTCTAGTTAATATTGTGAAGAAAAATAAAGTACAGTGTGAGATACTGGTTGTGCCCTGGCGTTGTTTACACTGTGTTAACATGATTTTGCCCTGCCATTCATCATCATTACACAAGACTTTGAAAAGCCTTCTTAACAAGCCAGTAAAACCACCACGACCCCACTCTAATGAAGCCCTCAGGGACCAGGCTAAGGGATTGCCTTACAGGTGAAACTACCTTCGAAGGAGACTCTTTTGTTTCTTGGTAATAACCCTCCTGGTTAGGTCCAAGCTAGGCCAGCCTTGAGTTCTACTCCCTGGGAGAGCTACTGTTGCTGTTAGGTGTGTTCTTCCATATGGATCAGAGATCCCAGCCTCTGCATTTTATAAGATGAAAGCATGTGTGAAAAGGAGGGAAACCAGCTGAAAATTCTATTTTGCAGTCAGCATTTTTAGTTGGAACCAAAGCAGCTACTTGCTTTGGAGTAGGTAAACCCTAAGTGGCAAGGGATCCGGTTTCCCACTGGGTTCAGGTCCTGATACCCTAATCCTTAACCCCCCAAGTCTCATCACTTAGACTCAATTAAAAGAATGCTGATAATAACATTCATCTGTTGAGCACCTGCTGAATACAATACTGTATGCATACTACACTTTGCTCTCAAACCTTGCAAGGTAGGTATTGGCGTCTTGTATTTTGTAGGAGATAACTGAGACTCAGACGTTGAAACAATACGCCCAAGTTCTCAAACATCGTATAAGTTACAGGATTTGAGTCCGGGTGTGGCTGACCCCAAGGCCTATGCTCCATCCTTCAAATCAGTAGCCTCTAAATTGCTGCACATGGAACCATGGTGGCACAGCCTTCCCAAGGAGTACCGAGGCATGGCATGTTTAAAAGAATCAATGTTCTCAACACCCATGGGTACTCTTTCATAAACCAATTTCCTTAAGCACACCCCAGCATCAGACCAACTGTCCTCACCCTCCCGTTTCACAGTCATCTGTCACACTTCTCAGAAGGCAGGCTCCCTCTCTCTGGATCTAATGGTGATGCCCTGCAATAGTGAGTGCCTCATACTGGCCAAGAGAGCCGACTGTGCCTGTCTTTCCAGCCGTGTGCCAATGAAGTCAGGTGAGTGGCTTGAAACTGGCAGTGGTGGAAGCCTTTCCACCATGTAAATGAAAAAAAACTATAAAGCAGGGCTTTCTTTTCTTTGCCTTCCCCTCCCCCCGCCCCGCCCCACGGAGTAAATTTACCTGCACACCATTGGGCATGGCCCTGGAGTGTTAGAATTCTTGGGTTACCAAAAGGCATGATTTAAAATCCTGGGGCTATATTGGACTGTAATGACTGGGGAGCAAATCCTTTTGCAAATTGGTTTTCCAATTCTTTGCTTTCAATGAAGTTGAATTTCTAGTGAAGACAGCCAATAGATTTTTTTAAATGTGATTTTTAGATATACTAGAAATTCAGAGTTGAATAACATCACTGTAACAAAACTCTTTCCAATCTCCCGTAATTGTTACATGTGCAGCCCCCCTCAGAGCTTATATTCATAAAGACAAAAAACAAGAGTAGACTCGCTGGTGAACACTAGCTCTTTCTAGCAATAAGTAATTTTTATTTGGGGGTATGTATCTTTCTGGGGATGGAGGAGGGAGGGAATAAACTAGTCACATCCTTTTAAGAGGTTTATTTACAATAAAATTTAAATTTTATATTTAATAATTATTTGTCGGAATTGTAATATATTTGCATTTCTATCAGTTAGGTAGTAATGATTGTATACTCAGGAACACAGAAAGCCTTCTGGTCACAAAAATTCATAGATTTGCTATAGAAAATTTTGAGATCAATTTTAAGTTTTTAGTTGTAAGAAATACATTAGGATAAAATGGGAGGCAGAATTATGAATTTGAGGAGAAGAAAAAGAAATGGAAAATGTCCAAGTGTCAAAAAGTAACCCTGTATTTTTTATGTAGAGTGTTGAGTATCATACCATTACAGTACTTCGATTCCAATGGATATCATTTGAAAGTGAGGTAACAAATTTATTTTTAAAATGTGAATTCTTAAAATAACTTGTCAGACAAAGTTGTTATTAGCATGTGTCAGAATTCTATTTCAGACTGGCCTCGAGGGAAGAGGCTCCCAGCAAGCCAGCCAATTCAGTGATTCTCTTTTGGAAGAGACACAAATAGAAAAAAGAAATGGCACCACAACAGAACAGCTCGAGACTGGTTGACATGGCTTAAGACAGCTCAGTGCGGACTCTGACTTCCCAGCAGCTCATAATCCCATTAAAGTCTATCCGGAAATTACCCAAGCATTTTATCAGGAATCATAATTACTTCATGAAAGGGGTTACAAATGACATCATCTGCCACAGACAGTTTGGGAACAATTTTCTTTCTTTTTTTTTGTATTGCATTTTAGGTTTGGGGGTATATGTGAAGAACATGTAAGATTGTTGCATAGGTACACACATGGCAGCATGATTTGCTGCCTTCCTCCCTATACCTGGCATTTCTTCCCATGCTATCTCTCCCCAACTCCCCACCCCCTGTTGTCCCTCCCCTATTTCCCCCAGACCCCAGTGTGTGATGCTCCCCTCCCTGTGCCCAAGTGTTCTCATTGTTCAACACCCACCTATGAGTGAGAACATGCAGTATTTGATTTTCTGTTCTTGCGTCAGTTTGCTGAGAATGATGGTTTCCAGGCTCATTGGAAATTCTATCCTTAACAACTATTTACATTTAAATTTTAAAAATTACCCGTCAAACGTGCAAGCATGGTATATGTCCTTCAAACTTCTGACAAAGGAGTCTTTCATGAAGTTGGGGAGGCACATCGGCTGGCTCATCAGAAGACCCTTTCCTGGAAACCCTTCCAGGCACGCCCTGGACTTCATTGGAAACTAAAAAGTAGATATTACCCAGAAAGGTATTTTATTTAAATTAATCTTTCTGTCAGCATCAAGGAAGCAAGAAATTGGATAAGAATAATAATTGGGCCAGGAGCAGTGGCTCATGCCTGTAATCCCAGCAGTTTAGGAGTCCGAGGCAGGTAGATCATCTGAGGTCCGGAGTTCGAGACCAGCCTGACCAACATGGAGAAATCCTGTCTCTGCCAAAAATACAAAATTAGCTGGGCATGGTGGTGCATGCCTGTAATCCCAGCTACTTGGGAGGCCAAGGCAGGAGAATTGCTTGAACCCTGGAGGCAGATGTTGCAGTGAGCCAAGATTGCACCATTGCACTCCAGCCTGGGCAACAAGAGTGAAACTCCATCTGAACAAAAAAAAAAAAAAAAAAAAAAGGAGAATTGTAATAATTACGGTAGGGCTCTGAAGCTTGATAAAGAACTTTGACATTATCTCTGTGTTCCAAAGCTGTTTGCTATATGCGTAGTTTTTAAGAGTCCAGAACAGAGCAATAAGTGCCTTACTTGCAACATGAAGAGAACCTGAGAAATCCATGGAGAATTATCCATCAGCAGTGACACAGGACAAGTCTACTCCTGCTGCATGTGAGGCCAAAAAATGCAATGACAACAAAATATATCCTTGTAGACTTTGCTCTATGAAGCCAAATGTTCTAGCCATAGTCTCAGCCCTGCACCATCCTCGTTCCTCCATTTGGACACATCTCACGTAGCAACATCTCTTTAAAACACCAAATATGATCATGTGTCCTAGACGAGAACTGACTCCATGCTGTGATCATCAAAGTCAACCTTGAGTCCTCTTTTTCAGCCACCTGCTGTCCATGGACACTGGATCTTGACTATCACATTACCTAAGGCCAACCATGGGTGAAATCAAACTTACAATCTGCTCCAAAGATGAGGTCCTTCCTCAGCTTCCCCCTTCTCTTGCTGGTATCATCATTTCCTCAGGTTTCCAGGTTCAACACCATGGGCACCGCAGCTCATACAGTGCTCATTCCGTGAGCTGATGAATGGATCCAGCCATTTGACAAAAATGTGTTGAGCTTCATGCAGAGGTTTGGTGTGAACTGGGCTCCAGGCCTTACAAATTATTAAGATACAATCCAGGTTCCCAAGGGTAAACCATAAACATTTCCCTCTCTCTCTCTGCAGCCAAGGCTTGGATCTATCTGTTTGGAACACCAGCTTGGATGCTAAGTAGTAATGGATTTTTCTCCATATTCTTTGTTTTTCCACAGTTTTGATCTCACTCCATCTCAGAGCCCTGCAGGCAGGTTGGGGTAGAAGCCACAGAGATTATTATGAGTAAAACTCAGCAGCAAACAGCCCAGGGGGGCTTTGATCCTCTCTCCCAAGGGGAACATCATCTCCTATATCCATGTGGAACCTCTCAGCTGGAGGACAAAAGGGGGAAAAAGGAGGGATAAAATATTTATAGAAAAGTTATTTCTCACAAGCAAGCATTTGTTCTAAGAGCTTTTAGAAATGTAATTATTTTTCTCCTTCTCGGGCTTCTCTGTTTTTAATATGAAACACTTTAAAGTCCCCTGGTTAGATTTCTAGGAAGCAATAATCCATTTTGCCTTGGGTGCAGTTTAGAAAAGAAACTAGGTTTCAGAAGTGAATATGCTTCCATTGAAATTGCCACATGGAGCCTTTGCCTGTTCTTTAATGTTCTTGCATAATGAGGACCCCATTCCCAGGGGAAAGCAGGGTGGACCAGCTGTCTTTCCTTCCACCCTCTACTGCAAGAGTCTCTATCTTATTTGAGCCACACAGCTGAACTCCTGCCCTCACCCTCACCTACCAAGTGACTGTCACATATAAAGGGTAAACCTCTGGAACAGCATTCTCCAACAGAAATCAAATATGAGCCACAGATGTGAGCCACAGATTTTTTTTTTTTTTTTTATGGTGGGAAACGAAGCCTGTCTCTGTCGCCCAGGCTAGAGCACAGCAGTACAATCTCAGCTCACTGCAACCTCTGCCTCTTCAGTTCAAGCAATTCTCCTGTCTCAGTCTCCCAAGTAGCTGGGACTACAGGCACATGCCACCATGTCAGGGTAGTTTTTGTATTTTTAGTAGAGACATGGTTTCACCATGTTACCCAGGGTGGTCTTGAACCTCTGAACTCAGGCACTCTGCCTGCCTCAGCCACCCAAAGTGCTAGGATTACAGGCGTGAGCCACCACACCTGACCAGCGTATATAATTTTTAATTTGCCAGTAGCCACATTACAAAAAATTTTTCAATAATCCTATGAAATTAATTGTTTAATATATTTTATTTGTCCCAATTTTTCATGTTAACATATAATACATACAAAAAGGTTTGAGATAGGAGTGTAGGGAAAACTCTCAGTGTCTTTCCTCTTCGGTCAGAGCACAACCATCATCAACGCAGAAGATTTCTGTGACCAAATGTATGGGGATTTTCCCCACACACCAAGCAGGGGACACTAGCTGGGTGTCCTCTAATTCAGTTCCAACACTGTCTGTCTGGAGATAGTGTCAGAGCCCACAGGTCAAGGGCTCAGTCCTCAAGATTGCCCCCCACCACACCAGTCAGAAGTCCAGGCCTTTGGAACTTCTGACCAACAAGCTTCAAGTTGGGGTTCCCATAACCCCCTCTTTGGCTTCAACTAATTTGCTGGAGCAGCTCACAGAACTCAGGAAAATACTTACATATGTTTACTGGTTGATTGTTAAAAACGTTACAAAGGCTACAGATGAAGAGACACGTGGAATGAGGGATGGGGGATGGGTGTGGAGCTTCTATGCCCTCCCTGGGTGGCACCCTCAGGAACGTTAGCATGTTCAGGTCTCTGGAAGCTCCTCGAACCCTGTCCACTTGGGTTTTTATGGAAGCTTCATGACATCAACATTCCTTTCCCCAGGACATAGGGTAGGAACCTCTCATGGAAGGGTCTTAAGAACTTCAATCAGAAAAGCAGTAGAGTCCTGCCCTGGGGCAGGTGAAAGGGGGCAGAAGGAGGTGAGAGACTTAACACACCTGACGCCATAACCAAAGACTGTAACAAGGGCTATGCAAGTCATGAGCCAGGAACCATGGAGGAAAACCAGTCCCTATCATGACACCACATAGGCTACGTGTTTTTGTTTTTCATACTAAGGCTTTGAAGTCAATGTGGAATTGACAGTGGTAGCTCATCTCAGTGTGAATGAGCCACATTTCAAATGCCCAAGAGCCACATGTGGCTGGTGGCCACCATGCTGACCCACAGCCCCGGATCATACCCTGTGCGCAGATATTTGACATCTCATATGCAAGCGATGTGTCCACAAAATGTCTTTCTCTTCATGCCCCGCTGTTCCCCGCCTCACCCCATACTTGCTAATTAAGTTGTTAAAACAGGAAAATGTCTTCTCCAACTCCCTCAACTCTCCTTTTTCAAGTTTAATCCAAAGGGTTCTTAGTTTTGAAACAGTTGTTATCAGTTCAAAGGGGAAACTAAATCTGAAATGTGTCTAGTGGAGGTATTGCAGTCTCCTTGACAGGCAGTAAACTCTTCATATCAGATCAGGGTTTGAATTCCGGCTTGCTAAGTGTACGACTTCAGGCAAAACATGTGGCCTCTTTGCATCTCACTAGTTCAATGGGGTTGTGACGCTTGTCCTAACATATTTTACCAACCTCATGGGATAGTGGAGTTAGGGAGATCAAAGTGGTGAATGTGAAAGAGTTTTGATGCCACATAAAATGGAAAATAATAACATCATTTATTATGTCTAACCATCAAAACATTATTTTCTGTGCAGCTACAGAAAATAATAAACCCACAATAGCTACACAGACAGTGTAAAGATTCAAATTAAGAAACTGAACCAAAGAAGCAAATTCCTGTAATTGCATGTCAACAATTTTCTTAACCACTACCAAACTCTGACTTGTCATTTTTATTTACAAAGAGAGAGAGGGAATAACAAATGACCCCCAAGATAATAATCGACTGTGGTCTTTGGAGACAGGTATGCAACATGAGAATGCACCTTGATAATGCCTTGCAATAAACTTAGTTATGATCTTGACAATGACACTGCAGAGAGCATCACATGTGGACCTTTTTTTCAAAGACCAATGATTTGAGATGTCTGCAGAGAGTTCATGCAATATCTCTGCCCCATAACCACCTGAATATTTCCTTGCAGTGACAGTTTTTAGATTAGTAACATTAGCTTCTAACATTCCCTGCGACACCAATTAAAACTTACCTCCTCATTGTTTTTTTTAAAATGACATCTGTGTGCCGGGGAATGGGGAAATATGTTGCCTTCTTTCCTAATTTGTTCTCTCCCAAGTGTTATTTAAAAACAAAATTCCAATTTTGGACTTTTCCCATTTGCCTTTACTAATTACTTCTTTTATGTTCCACCCACTTGTGCCGTAACTAATTCAAGTTCAAATAGAATGTAGTCACTATTTCATCACACTCATCTCCTGCTCCTGAAGAAGTCATCCGCACTCCACAAAAACAGGAACCAAGAAGGCTTTGGGGCTTCATGAGGCCACAGGTAGTGTCACTCTGATCCAATCATGCGAGACCAAATTTGTCCAGGTCCAGGAGTGTAGAACATGTTCTTATCTCCAAATTCACATCTGCTAGTTGTACGGCATATGGAAATAAATGCACACCAACCAAATGAGAAAAGCAAAGGCTATTTATTCAGAACTTGCTATATATATAGCAAGGGAGTCGGCCACTCACTATCCTTTGCATTTTGGCAGAGACTCAAAGGCAGGCAGAGAAGGAGGAAAGCTTTAAAATGGCAAAGAGGGAAGGCTTCGATCTCACCCTGGTGGGAGTTGTTGGCATAGGGTGGGGTGCCTACACGGAGGTGGGCTAACTAGAAGCAGGACATCGGACATGAGTAATTAGAGGTGCATATTTGGCTTTCTCTGGTTGGTCCTATATTGGCATCAGGGAAGAAAATCAAGGAAGCTGTTCATTATTAATTAACTCCTGCCCATTTGGGGGCAATTGTATGAGGTGATTGTCTGGCTTCCTGAGTTGTTACTACAGACAGTGATCTGACTTCCTGCAAGTCTGATGTATAGCAGACCTGCTTACTGAGCTGGTAACTGTAAGTCATGAGCTGGTTTCCTGGGCTGGTTGCTCTAGACTGTGGGTCTGAATTCTTTTATTTTATTTTATTTTATTATTTTATTTTATTTTATTTTATTTTATTTTTGAGACGGAGTTTTGCTCTGTCACCCAGGCTAGAGTGCAGTGGTGCAATCTCAGGTTACTGTAGCCTCTGCCCCCAGGTTCAAGGGATTCTCCCGCCTCAGTTGTCTCAATAGCTCGGACTACAGGCACGTGCCACCATGCCTGGTTAATTTTTGTAGTTTTAGTAGAGAGGGGGTTTCACTATGTTGGCCAGAATGGTCTCTATCTCCTGACCTTGTGATCCACCTGCCTTGGCGTCCCAAAGTGCTGGGATTACAGGCATCAGCCCCCATGCCTGGCCTGAATTCTATTTTTATACCTGGTCTAGCCATTGCCCATTTCTATATTCAGTCTCTCAGGTGCAAAACAAAGCCAGTGAGGATGACAGGAAACTAGAAAGAAAGAAACCTGAATGATCAGCAAATTATCAAATGAAGTCACCAGACTTATGCAACACCCTGGCAGCCACCCAGCAATTTGTTAATGACATCCTGTAAGTCCTTCTCTCCCACTCCATAGCCACACCTTGGTGACATTATTTGTCTCCACTGCCACATTATGTGAGAGAGTGCCTCAAGTGCACATGCAATCTTGCAAAAGCCACCAAGATGTGCAGAACTAGGATGCAGGAATTCAGCCTCATGTCTGGAGGCTTGATGTTGCAACAGGTTATCATCCAAAGGGGAGGCTGGGGTCCCAGAAACTTTCTGAGATAAAGAGTTTGGAAGCATCTCCTTGGGTTCCAGCAATCCAAAAATATTTTACCACAGATTCTTTGGGAGAACTGCATCCACTTCCAACCACCCCAAGTTGTTTTAAGCATAATGTAGTGGATGCGCTTTAAGTCAGACGGGATCCAACGCTGGCTTGGATTATATAATTTCTAAAACAAAGCATAAAATCATCTACCTTTTAGCCAGCACCTAGTGCAGGGCAGACACTATGCTAAGTGCTTCGGATACATTGTCTCCTTTAACCTGTGGCAACATCCTTATGAGATGAGTACCTTTATTTTGAATTTTATAGGTCTCGCTGGGCTAAAATCAAGTTGTAGATTTTAGAGGCCCTAGGGGAGAATTGTATCCTTGCCTTTTCCAGCTTCTAGAGGCATCTTGCAATCCTTAGATGGTGACCCTTCCTCCCATCACTCCAACCTTTGCTGTCACCACTCTCAGTCTGATGCTCCTGCCTGTCTCTTAACGACAACTCTGTCATTAGCTTGGGCCCACCCAGATAATCCACAATTCTCCCCCATCTCAAGATCCTTAACTAAATCACATCTGCAAAGTCCATTTTACCATGTTAGTTAACATACTCACAAGTTCCAGAACATTTGGATGTGGACATATTTGGAGGAGTCGTTATTCAGTCTAACACCACAGATAAAGAGACTGAGGTTCAGAGTGGTTAACCGATTTTCACAAAGCCTCATAGCTAGCAGTAGTGGAGCTGAGGTTTGACGTTACCAACTACATCAGGCTTCCCTTTCTGAGTTCACCAGTTTGATCCTCGAAGCCAAACTCAGCATGGTGCCATATATGCAAAATCTAACCTTCACCCCCACCTCCCCCAGTGTATTAGTCTGTTCTCATTGCTGCTAATTTATAAAGAAAGGTTTAATTGACTCACAGTTCCACAGGGCTGGGGAGGCCTCAGGAAACTTACAGTCATGGCAGAACGCACCTTTTCACAGGGTGGCAGGAGAGAGAATGAGTGCCAGCAGGGGCAATGCCAGATGCTTATAAAAACTTCAGATCTCAAGAGAACTCACTATCACAAAAAAAAAGCATGGGGGAAACTGCTCCCATGATTCAATTACCTCCCACCAGGTCCCTCCCATGACATGTGGGAATTATGGGAATTACAATGCAAGATGAGATTTGGGTGGGGACACAGCCAAGCCATATCACCCAGGCATGTGGGTCCCCACCACTACCAGATGATACAGGCAGCTCCCAGCCACCCATGCTATCCTGATCCAGAAGCTCCAGCCTTCAGGGAGACCATTATCTGCAGAGGAGAAGGTCTGGTGGCCAGACTGCCTCTGTGCAAAGCTTAGTGTCCTCCACTTACAGCCACAGCTCACCAGTTTCCTCTGGTCTCATTTCCTCTTGCCCTCGCCCCCACTCTGAATCTCTCAAAATTCTTCCTTAGCGCTATTCCCAAAGCACACAGGGATAATCCCTGCTTCATAGTTGCTCCTGTTCCTATTTCCTTCTCAAAATAGGTCAAGGGTAAGGAAGAATATCTAGTTTGACCAAGAATTATTCCCAAGGAAGGGAAATTTACCAGCCCCTGAATGGTCAGGGTGCTGTGAATCAGTAGCCCCATCAAGGAAGCTGCATGGATGTCTCCAGGCTGAGTCCCAAGAGGGAGAAAGGCCCATCCTGAGAGGAGGAAGATACTCTTGGAACCACTATGAAGGCCCCAACTTATATCTTTCCTTAACCCTCCCTCTTGACTGTCAGAAAATTCAAGGAGCCCTTACGCATACGGGGCAGACTTACTAAAGAGAGCAGCATGCCAGTGTTGCCTTTGCTAATTTTCTGATCTTCTGGGCCCTGAACTTAACTCGCACAGATGTGTGTCATTTGATTGGTGCTCCCTGACTGGTCTGGACCTAGTGTCTTTTCTTCTGTGTCCTTACAAGCTGGTTTCCTATTCTGGCATGCTAACCTCCTATCATGTCATTTACCCAGAATACTCACCAGGGCTGCTTCTGATGCCCCAGTTCCCAGGGTCTGTTCAGTGGGGACACGAGCCTTTCGTGATGTCCTCTCCAACAAGTCAAGGCCCCAAAGTCAGAGAAACACAGCCCATTGTGCCAATGGTAGACACTCTGCTGCTCTTTTTTCTATTTCCTTATTGCATGTGGTGGTGTGGGGGCTTAGAAGAACATAGGAGAGGTATTCATAATAAAAAAGAAATTAATAAAGACCACAGCAAGCCCAGATTCTTTCTTTTATGTTCTCTCTATACCATGGTTCAGTTACCTGCTAGAATAATTGCAGATCAACTTCATCCAGTTAATAACCAAAAACAATTGCCTACAATTCCCTTTGATCTCTCGCCATAGGGACAAATTGTATACAAAGAAGTTTAGCAAGAAAGGTGACTCTCACAGGAACTTTTTGGGCCCCTGCTATGGGAGACCCTTTTCTGAGTCCTGAATTCCCCCATCTTTAACACTCAATGGCTCTTTGTGCTTGATTTCTATAATGGAGCACGGCTTTAGCCCTCCCACCCTCCGTGAATTCTGGCCCCCAGTGAGACTTTGCATGAGGCACTGTGTAAATCCCGGCACAGCTGAGTGAAAGAGACATTTATTGTCTGTCTTGGCTGTAAGGGAGGCTAAGTGTTTATGAAGTATGTTCAGGACACACATGTTGTGGTGAGCCTGTATCACTGTCCTCTCATCCTTCATCTGACAGATAATGCCGGCTGATTGTGGATGTCATCATAACGATTCCTGTGACTCCAGGGCACAGCTGGCCCTTTGGCTTTCTTATAAAACTGATCCCACTTTTTCAAGTGTCTTTAAGAGCATAACAGTATGGTAGGGAATAAATATGCCAATGTTTCTTGGTCTCCAAAAACTAATGTAGACTTCTCTCTTGTAAATTTCCACTGGCCGCTAAAGATAAGAAAATAATTTAGATAGTATTGAATAGACCATGGCAAGCCTCTCCAAAATGGATCCAGTGTCTTTATAGTTCAAGACCATTGTTACATTACATTACCTTACTTGTAAAAATCAAATTTTATTGAAAGTGGAACATTCCTTTCAAAAATCAAGACTTAAATAAAGAACATCTTCCTCTGTCAAGAATTCCAAATTGGCTAGAAAATATATTCTTATAAGTTCCTGGATATTCTTGGAAAAGTCATTGAACCTTTATGGGTCTCCATTTCTTAAAATTCTAGAAAAATCATGGCATTGGCTGGGTGATCTCTGAAGCTGCACCGTCCAGTAGAACTTCCCGCAGTGACAGCAGTATGCTCCATCTTCACCGACTGCCACAGTGCAGCTATTGAGCACTTGAAATGTGGCGGGTATGACTAAGAAAAAAAAATAATTTAACGTAATCTAAATTTAAATAGCTACATTTGGCTAGTGGCTATGTATTGGACAGGACAGCTCCAAAGGGTTCCTTGTTGATGTAAATACAATGGAGAGGTGGGGTGAATACCCTAGGGCTAAGCAAGCCTTGGGGTCCAGGTCTATCATTACCCTACTGCAGAGATCTACTCCTCTGCTAAAAGGACCTCTTACACACAGCCAGCTGGGCGTAGCAGAGAAGGCTGCAGCGCCCCGTAAACCACACACCCGCAAGACCCCTTAGACTCCAAAAGGGGAAGGATGAGGAACTGGATGAGCACTTATCAGGTACAAGTAACTAAGGGCATGACATCAGACGAGAAAGAACAGAGCAGCCTATTCCATGCTCCATGCAGCCTTTTTGGATGTCCTCAGTCTAACTGCAGGCAGCTGCAGACACCAATGACTTGGCCACTACGGAGAAAGTGGGGACTTAGTCCTGTTAGATAAGGGAGCTGGCTCTCTGCCGCCAATCAATCGGAAAGCTTTTAAGATGGGAGTCTATGAAATATATATTAAATATCAACAAAAAAATGAATGCAATGAAGTTTTCAACTTAGCAGCACTCCTGGGAGCCAGGGGCCAGGTTCTCACAACATAAAGCCTGTATTAAGACCTCACCCCAGATAGGACTCACATCCACCTTCCTGAGGGATCAGTGAGGTCCAATAGGGTGTTTCTCCTTTTTGGGGTGGGAGGGAGGTCTGAAATCTGGTACTCTTCTGTGCTCCCCCAGAGCTAATTTCCTTTCTGAAAGAAACGAAAGCTGCAGGAACACTCATTTGTGCCATTGTGTTTTGCACAATCACACACCTTTCAATTGCCACATTAAAAATTCCTCCCAAGGCCCCACGGAGTTAGGTGATTATGTTTAATATAACCTTCTGGGTTTTAGTTTCATGCAGACTAACAAAGAATATGGAAACTTGTAATTCCATACTGCCTGAAGTACTTCTACAATTTGAACCTCAATTAAAATGTTTGTTTACTTATCTGCTAATCTGATTATTTTTTCCAATTCGTTCTCAGTGAGAGTGCAGAATCTGACATTCAGTCATTTCTGAAATACGACCAAAATGGAAACCTGGAGAGAGAGCTATTCAATGGGGGAAAGGAAAAACATAAACTCCCAAATGAATAACCCTGAGTATCCTTTAATTTTCCCCTAACAGAACACCATTTTCTAAGAGAAGGTATGTGCACAAAGAGGTAACTTTTTAGAAATTTACCAGTGATTTTATCATGGTAAATTGAGCCACAATCCCAATGAGAATACTTGCTATTATTGCTAGAAATGCATAGAGCCTGTATTTATTTTCAGAGGAGTTTCGTATCATTTTTATGAGTTGCTCCTCACAAAAAGCAAAACAGAAACCACCCTGAACCTCTAAGAGGTAGATCAGATTTTATCTCTCTCTCTTTCTCTTTCTCCCTCTTTTTTTTTTTTCCAAAGGAGGAAACCACTAAAGTGATTTGCCCTGAGGTCAGCCAGCTCATTGGTGTCTGGGCTGGTGTTAGAAGCTCTGGTCTCAGTGGGGCATGGTGGCTCACACCTGTAATCCCAGCACTTTGGGAGGCTGAGGCTGGCAGATCACCTGAGGCCAAGAGTTCGAGACCAGCCTGGCCAACATGGTGAAACCCCATCTCTACTAGAAGTACACAAAAATTAGCTGGGCATGGTGGTGCGTACCTACAGTCCCAGCTACTCCGGAGGCCGAGGCAGGAGAATCGCTTGAACTCGGGGGACAGAGGTTACAGGGAGCCGAGATCATGCCACTGCACTTCAGCCTGGTGACAGAGCAAGACTCCATCTCAAAAAAAAAAAAAAAAAGAGAATTTCCACAATAGAGCAATGACTGTTACTCTGTTCAACCCGGAACACTCTAATGTGACCACCTGCAGGCCTTCTTTTTTATGGGACACTGACTAATATAGGGCGAACACTCTTGGGGAGATGTCTGTCTGCTCTGTTCTCTCCTCTCCGGCTTGAGCCAGGGCCATGTTGCCCACTCGTAGGTGGTCCCCCTGCCCTCGGGCACCTTCCCGGAAACCCAGACCAACTCAAGTGTTCCAAGCACCCCGTTCTCCACATCCCTCCCATAGCCAAAGACCTAGCATGACGCTCTACGGCCTCCTGAGGCAAGACTGGAATTTTCGGCCCCCTCTTGTATCTCCCATATCGACACTTCGCCCTCTCTGGGCAGCCATATTTTTCCACTCAACACCACACTCCTGTCTTCTGCCTGGCGGGCCCTGAAACGTAGGACTGAGAGCAAGGGCTCTGGAGGCCGACAGGAGTTGGAGTCCCATTGCTTTTCCTTCTGGACCACGTGACTCAAGCGTCTCTGAACCTTGGTTTTCTCATCTGCAAAATGAACATAATGAGCCCTGACTCGGGGCTGTGGTAAGGATGGGGCGAGCTAACATATGTCACTGCCAGGCCTGGCACGTCCCTGTGGTCCTCCTTCCCCTTCAGAGCCAAACATCCCGGCAAACCCCACTTCAGACACACACACACACACACACACCAGCTTCGAGGATTTCTCCCCTCCTTCCCCTCCCTGGGCCTGAGTCATCCTCTGGGGCCCAGCTGGTTCCCACCACCCCCAGGAATCCTTCCCTAGAAATCCCAGTGCAGCTCTCCCCTAGTCTGCACTTCTGCAGGCATGGCCTTCGTTTTCCTGTTTCCAAATGTTCCACAGTGTTTTCCACCTGGTCCCCAATAGGACTGCAAAGTCTTGAGTGTGGGGGTCTCATCCCCCCACCCTGTGTGGTCCCACAGACCTGTGATCTATACAGATGGAGATAGGCCTGCTTGTGTATTCACATTAGAATGAACTTGGAGTCTTTTCCTCTTGGCTCCTTCAAAACCTTTTTGGTTCTCAATTTGCTGTAAACTTTGAAACCTCACCTTGTAGCATATTATAGGGAAGAAAGAAAAACCAAAGGTACCGAGTATCAGCTCGGCCCGGGAGACCCCCACCCAGGTGGTGCTGAAGGCAATGAGAGGCAGACACCCAGATAGAACAGCAAAGTGGGTCTATCCGGGGTCCAGCAGCCTTCCAAACTGAGAGCCTCAGAGGCTGACAACATTCCAAGCTGAAGGCCCCGAGAAGATTCCCATCCACGTATTCTCTCTTAGCAGGTGAGTCTTATTAATAAACAGGTGTTCTGCATTTACTCTTAACTCAAAAATATTCCAAGTAAGCAGCTGTTACCCGCTTACCACTAAGTGCAAACTAAAAGGTGTTCTCCACAAGGGAGCCACAGGGGCAGGGTAAAAACGTTTCTCAACACAAAGGTGTGCTCTTTTTTAAAAATCTCAAATACCAGAAGGAAAATCCACACGCTGATTTGGGAATTCATCATCACCACGCACTTGGTGAGTACTTTCTCGGGGACTTTGGGAAAAACCTGTTCTGGAAAGGCCCTTAACTATAGGAGCCAGATACCTGGGACTGAAATAAGCACCCAGTCTGCTCTGCCACAGCTGCAGAGAGACGGAGAGAGCAGCAGGGGAGGCACGAGGAGAGAAAACTGCCAGGAAAAGGTGTTCAGAAAGCCCACCCCAGGGGACACTAGCGTTTTCAGAAAGCCATGAGTGACCCCCACATTCCACCTGCTCCTCCCCAACTAAAGGCTTCAGCCACTCCAGGGACTCCTCCCCTTCTGAAGCTGAGCCTGGCATCCTTGCCTCCCCCTGTCCACCCTGCAGCAGAGAGGGCTGCCCCCAACTGAGGACAGGGCACAGCAGCCAGAGAGGCTTCCCCCGTCTTCATGTCAG